GCGAGACAAGGAAACGGGAGATTTGAATAATGGGAGAAATTATGATGTCTTCTGCGCTGGAGCCCAGCCCGGCCGGGAGGCGATAACAGGACGGCGGCTTAGGTTTCCGACTCCGGGCCAGGGCGGCCGCGACAATGCCCGCATTGTTCCCATCGGCCATTGTCACAGGGTCGCAGGCCCGGGGGCCAGGACAGGACGGGCGCTGGCTTCACCAGGAAGCGGGCTGTGGTCGCTGACGGGGTGCACGGGCCGGTGACAGCTCTGCCCGCACGGGACGGCGGCCGGGGGAGGGTCCTGGGTGTCGCCGTGGAGGCAGCAGTTTCGTTTTAGTGAAACTGCGAGCCTGGAGCCGGCTCTGGCTTCCCCGGTCAGAGCCGGAGCTGCCTCGGAGGTCACCTCCCGAGAGGAGAAAGGGCTCCACGCAGGCCCGCCCTGGGGGACGGTGAGCGAAGGCCTCCCTGTTACGGGGTCCCTGCTGCAGAGCTAACCCTCCCACCACCACATACACACACACACACACACACACATGCTGCCCCTGGAGCCACCTGGGGGCGGCAGGAGGGGCCCCCGGGAGCCACCGAACCCCGACCAGCCCGAGTGCACAGCTGTGGTCCCTCAGGGGCGCCCGTACCCCTCTCTTTGCAGCTTCAGTCACACCTGCTCATGCAGGACGGGTGCCCGCTCTGCCCGGTGCCCGGACAGGCCACCGAGAGCCGGCCCGTAGCAGCCCGCAGCAGCCCATGTCCCTCGGGCTCGGCCGCTGGGCCCGTACCCGGTGCACACGCGGGCGACCGGGCCCTGATGGGCCTGTGCTGCTAAGCGCCCCCCACAGTCAGAACGGAGGGGGCGGGGCCAGGACGGGGCCTCTGGGGGGGCTCCTGGCTGCATGTGCTGCCCCTGGACCCCCTTGAGGTTAGCAGGGCCCCACCAGGCCTCTGACTCCCCGCTCCTGCCTGAACCCCTGGCTGCTGCCCAGGCCCCGGGGCTGCTATGCCACCTGCCCTCCTGCCACACCAGTCCTCGTGCAGCTCACCCGGGGCCCCGAAACCTCTGACTCCAGGAAGCACGTCAGCCCAGCACAGCCCCCCTGAGGCGCACCCCCCACGCACACATTTGGGCACAGGGCCTCACGCATGGGCCTCCAGGGCTGGTGCTGCCCTGAGCGGGTGCAGGCACCAACCCAGGGACCACACCACCCTTGTCCATGGGCCTGCGGCCGCGGGAGAGTCAGGCCTGCTCCCTTTGAGGGTCCAGACGCTGCCCAAAGGTCCTGATCCGCCCCCGGGGAGCCCCCTCCTGTGCCTTCCGAGGACCTGGGAGCCCCTCTGAGTCAGAACGGAGGGGGCGGGGCCAGGACGGGGCCTCTGGGGGGGCTCCTGGCTGCATGTGCTGCCCCTGGACCCCCTCGAGGTTGGCATGGCCCCACCAGCAGCTCCCAGTTCGCTCGTTATCTGTGTTCAATGCCCAGAGCAGGAAGCCCAGCCCCTCTCCTGTGAAGTCAGCAGGCCCCGTGCTGTACACTGCCAGCAGGTGAGGCTCCTGTGTGTGCAGTTCCCCTGTGCTGCCCGACACCAGACCTCAGGCCACTGCCTCAGGCGGGAGCTGCCTCGGACCCAGGACCCAGGACGAGAAAGGGCTCCAGCCAGGGCCGCCCTGGGGGACGGTGAGTGACGGCCTCTCCTCCCTGTAGCGGGGTCCCTGGGGCAGTGCTAACCCCTGGGGAGGGGGAGGAGGAGAGAGTGGGAGGGGGATGAGGTGGGGATGGGTGGGGAGTGAGAGGGGGATGGAATAGTGTTGGGAGTAGGATGGGGATGGGTGGGGAGTGGGATGGGCTGAGATGGGGTGGGGAGTGGGATGGGGATGGAACGGGGTGGGGAGTGGGGTGGTCTCCAGTCGCCCTCCCCTGCGGTGGTGCTATAGGACCGAGCAGGTGCCTGCTGCATCCGCTCACAGAAGTGGGTGACTCCGATTCCCATCCTGGGGTGGCATTTATAGGGTTCGGGGGTGATGTGAGCCCACCTGGCAGCAATGAGCCTGAACAAGGGGTGTGAGCCAACACTCCTCACCCTCCCCCGCTGTTGGTGAGCCTGGGGGGGGGGGCTGAGCCTTAAGCCCCGGCGGATGGAAGGAGGTGGGGGCACGTGGGCTAGTCGACACCCCGCCCTCCCCTTCCCAGGTGTCAGCTGGGCCTGCTGGGGCAGTGAGCATCCCCCCTACTTCGAAGGGGTGGGGTGAGTCAGTACCGCGTCCTCCAGAAGGTTCCCTGGAGCCAAGCAAGGAGCTGAACCCCCACACTCTCTGCCGCGAGGCCGTGGCATCAGCGCCCTGACTCCTGGGGTGGTTCCCGCGGGTCCCGTGGGAAACTGCGCGCCCATCCACCCGCCCTCGTGCTGCACCTGGATGGGAGGACGCCTGCTGCAGACATAGCTCCTCCGGGCACCATCAAAGCACAGAAACGCTGACCCAAAGGAGAGCAGGCAGCCCAGACGCGAGCGTGGAGGGGCCGAGCTGTCGCAGACGCCGGCACGATGGGGCGAGGCTGTAAGGCAGCCGCCACGCACAGTGAACATCTTGGCAAGGAATTCGGTTATAACGCGAGCGCCAGGCGGAAGTGATCACACGGAAAACACAACAGCAATGAAAACGGGCTGGAGGGGCTCAAGAGTAGAGCGAGGGACAGAGGACAGACTCCGTGAAGCTCAGACAGGTGGACAGACTCGCCCAACCTGAACCACAGGGACAATGGGCTGAAAAATGACGGACGGAGTCCCCGGGGCCTGCGGGACGATGAGGTGGCGGCTGACTTGTGTGTCTTCGGAGACCCGGGAGAGGAGAAGAAAGTGGGGCCGA